TGACTTAATTTTAAGTTTAGTAGTATTTTGACGTCCAGTGGACGTCCATCTTAGGTCATTATTTATTTAGCTTACCAGATAACACCCATCTTTCTTTTTTTAAACATTATTGGTTATTAAAAAATAACAAATTTATTCTATTGCATTTCATTCTAACAACGTAAGTTTGAAATCTTATTCTATTATAACCATATCTAGTAAAAAGTTTTCAAGTGGCCTATTAGTCGAGATCGTCTAGTGGCTGAAAGCGTAGAACGTTAACGGATGTGTCGTGAGTTCGATCCCCATTCAGGTCAAGCGATTTTTAATTAAAAAAAAAGGAATGGTGTATAACGGGTTGCGAAACTAATAAATAAATTATTAATTATATAAAATAGTGTGCGGTGAGTTGCGGTTGTGTAAAAAAAGTGGGGGTGTGGTCTCAATGGAATATAATCTAGGAATGGACGTTTTTTGAATGCCCAGTATTCAACGTCCAAATATAATCCAGAAAGGGACGTCCTCTGAATAGTCAAAAGTTTGCCATTTGTAGGTATACTTTACTGGACGTCCATTGTATGACGGAAGTCCAGAAAAGACTTATTTTTGGACATCCAGACATCCAAAATTTTATATCAAAGGGACCTATTTGTGCTGTTTGGGTATCCTTCCTCCATGGTATTGCGAACTACTAAAAAAACTTCTCTTGTCCTCTGTCCTATATTCCGAAATCTAAACCCCAGTATATCTAAACTGAGCTGTGGCGCTATAATATGACAGCGTTCTTTTCACGTTTAATTACTGTGAGCATCTTCTTCTATCAGAAAGAGAAATCAATAACTTATCGAGAATAGACAACAACTGCTAGATGAAAATATTAGTACTTATAGATACCTAGATGATTTAATGTAACTAAGTGATACTGAACAAAATGTAAGACAGTTACTATAAATGCCTTGTAAATTACATTAAAGTGAAAGTTATTTAAGTATTATTAGTTGAACCACGGCTAGGTATCACGAGCTTTTACCGTAAGCAAATTTGGCAACAGTAACGAAGCTATTCATGCAGTGGCGCTAGTCGCAATGTCTGCCTAAACTAATCAATTATTCGTCATCTGCGTTGTATAAAGTGTTATGAAATCAAAATGAAAAGGTATTTTTAATTTTATGGACTAAAAATGGCGTCCGTTTATACCTTTCTGAAATAATTTATTCGCTCTTCGACAGCAGGCCGTAGATTTTAAATTCTGATTGTAGAATACTGCAGAGTAACTGTTACTGATAAATATTTTGCTTGTATAGATGGCGCCCCTTAAATAATTTGATATTAATTTCTAAGGGAAAGCATCCTTCATCCTTCCTCCATGCAACGAAGGGACAGCCCATAACCCTTCGATTTGTAGACACCTATCTACATGAAGGGATGTATCTAGATCTACTGCGTTATACTTTATTGGTGTTCATTTTGAGCCAGTGGCGGGCGTAGGGTTGCGTTTTTATCTACTTGAATATTGACGTACGAGAAAAGGTAGGTAGGTACCTGTACAGCACTTATAGATAAGCCTAATTAGGACTTCTGTTACACCTCGAAAAGGTGTTGAGATACCTCTTTATAATAGCTAGAGTTGGCCATTACTTGTCAACTACAGATTAACTAGTTGATATTATCGGTCATAGGCGGCGACTTTTCGTTTATCACCGGGTAAGGGGAATACTTCCCTCCATTTCAGTGCCGTATCCAGAGTTTCAGCTTGGGAGGGTAATTTATACGAATGTGTGAGAAGTCCTATCAAATATAAATGAAAGTCAACCAACACCTATCACAAATCCACAGACCCAGGGAAGGTAATTTCCCCCGTTGTATACGCCACTGGTCCATTTTTACTTTCTTCTGTTACTTGGATGTATTTTCCATTTATATTGCTTCTGTCGAAATATTCCAGTTTCTTCTGATTTTAACTCTCTTATTCTTACTATAATTCTCAATTTTACCTTTTGACCAGAACAATCCTGGTGAAATTACAGAAAAACTTGTTGGTAAAATATTTACCTGATAATTATTTTCTTTTCAGCTGAGTTTTACTACTTCTACTAATTTGAATTTTAAATTGAACAATGGGTAAGTTAATGCATGCATTTAAATACTTAATAAATACATGAGTAGCCCAAGTGCACAGTGGCGTGCCTGACGGGCCTGCAGAGCCCGCGGTGCGAGACGGCCCAGGGTTATTTAGGGCCTACGAAATAAAACACAACGTTTTCTTGTAAATATTTTTTCACTTATGTCAATTAAAGAAATACACAGACTTCGCAAATATTTCAACCATCGGATGCATTGGCAATAATAATAATTTGACGTAAAACTTTAAAACATAATTTAATGTGTAAAATCATTTAATTATTTTGATATTTAATTAATTTTTTTTGTGTGTTTATTAGTTTATTTTCTTATTAATCTCAAAACGTATATCATTATTTTCTTGTTTCTTTTTTTAAACCAGAGTAGTACTGATTATGTTAGAGTATTCATTAATTTTTTATGAACATTTTTGTTTACTTATTTTTTTGATAAAAATATGAGGGGCCATAAGAAAATTCTTGTTGGTGGGCCCTTAAGAAACTCGACACGCTCTTGCAAAACCTTTAAATCAATTATTTTTTTTAACTAAAATATATTATTATTAAGTATTCATCAGTTAAATCTAAAATATATTTATATTTAGGTATATTTCCAATGCATGCCAGTTCTTACTCTCTAGACCATAGATTCCCAAACTTTTTGGGCCTATCGCCAACATATCAAAAAATCTTTCCATCGAGTAATTTTAAGTATTTTCCAGAGGGCGACAGTTGTTCCTCAACGCCCTCTTAAATTTACCTTGGATCAAAAGTGACCCCTTAGCTCTCTTTATCGCATACCGGTGGGCGGTACCGCCTCCGTTAGGAACCACTGCTCTAGACCCTAGTTATTGGGGTCTAATAGATGCGCTGTAGCAATCAATCAGAATAAAATATTCTCACGTTATAATTAGTTTATTTTGAACTAGAGAAAAAACTTGACATAATTTTTATCTAACATTCATTATAATTTTTACATATCTTATTATTAAAAAGTGGAAAACACCAGTGAAAGGGGATGAGAACCTTTTTGATTTTATTTGTCTATGTCTATACTATCATGTAAATATAAAATATATGCTCAGGATATGAAAATATCTAACCACTTTGCAACATCATGAAATTGGCTACTTCTGATATTACTAGGCCTATGGATATTTGAGTCCAGTCTATGTTAAATAGTTTTTGTTGGAGCTGATGCTTGATACATTTTTAATGCTCTCAGTTGTTTTATCAGTGTTTTCAATGTACTGAATTATGTTTGGATTATTCTCCATATGGGGAAGCCAAAAAATCCAGATAACTATTCTCATAACAAGCAAAAGGATAAAGAAGAATTATCTTTGGATTATTCTGCATATAGGGAAGCCAAAAAATCTAGATCACTATTCTCATAATAAGCAAAAGGATAAAGAAGAAATAACGTATCTGGCGTTTTGTGAATTTTTTAGGTAAGAAAAAAATAATAAATCAATATTAGGAAGGTACATTGGTTTTCCGGTTAGTTATACGAGGAACTGTTAAAATTCACGGAATTTCGTTTCAAAAGAAGTTAATTATATTATATTTTGAAAATTCCCAAAAGTGAAAGCACATTTGTTGTCTTGATAGCCGAATTGGTAAAGGCGGTGTGCGTAATAGACACTCTTGGGGATTCAAAAATAAATTTTTTTACGCCCATGTCATTAAACCTTAAAAATTACACTATCAACATTCCTTGTAAATGACATTAAACAATAACATGCACGTAATGAGATTTCATAACATATACGTCATTTTGATAAGAAAACTTAAATTTCTTGGTTTAATCAAATTCCAATCAAATGTTTGTCTACGTAAGAGTTTATGTGGTCTATTTACATAAATTTAGTCATTTAAAAAACATAAAAATTTTTAGCATTAGCGAGATACATTTTGGATTAAAAGAGTGATGCCCCTAAATGTCGGCAACATATTATACAATATTTCAAAATATATGTCGCGTTTTCTTAGCATGCTATGGAAATAAACGTCATGCCATTTATATTGTCAATTTTTGTAACAAAATATGATTGTATCCGAACATTTTCTAAACTTTACCTACGAATATGTTTATTAGCAGTGAACGTGATGAAATTATGAGCACTGCACCGCAGTGGCGTAGTGATATAGTTGGGGGCCTGGGGCGACTCTAACTGACGGCCTATATATATGCCACACATACTATATATACTATTATGTACAAATATATAGTGTTGTACATAGCTACTAATATATAAAGACACAATTGTCTAACAGGTACAAAAATAACAAGAGGTATGGAACTTAATATATCTTATTGTGAAATTACTCAATACAATGTTGTACAGCAATGAGAAAAAATAGATACACAAACTTACCAAAATAATAAAAAGAAGAAACAAATTAATTTTTTTTATGTGGTACCATAAGTACAAGAAACAAAGAAAATTAAAATTACAAATGTTTGTTTTCAACACCTTTGCGCCCCCTTCGTATCTAGATTCTCAGAAGCATCACACAACTTTGTCTACAGGATCAACCAATTTTTTGAAATTTTTAATAAAACAAATATAGTTGTCGGACATTCTTGGGCCTTTTTTTGTTATTTAGAAAACAAAAATTAAGTATTTTCATATTTGGGGGCCTATGCCGACGCGGGGCCTGGGGCGGGCCGCCCCTACCGCCCCACCTACGCTACGCCACTGCTGCACCGGAGATTTTAGAAAAAGCTCAAGCTGCCACACTCGTGAAACTTTTTCACTTCGTGCGTAATGGGTTACTTACAACTCTTGTTAAGTAATATACTATTAATTATGTCGTAGGGTAATTTTCAAATAATTTTATTTCCAAAATATAGCTAATTTAATTATTCGTTTTCGGATCAATACCCGATACTTTCCAACTAGCCCAATCGGATTAGTATTTTAGATTCTGAAAAATTCGAAGCAGCAATTTTCCTTCGGAATTCGTTGGAGGGGGTCTCTGGTAGTCTAAATTCAAAAAGTTGGGATTCCAAAGTTGTCGTTACCTCCGCCATCTTGATTTAAAGGGTTATTTTTTGTATCTTGAATAACTCATTTATTTTCAATTGTACACGGAAAATAGTTTTTACAAAAGTTATTTAAAATTAAATTTCCTACAATTCTGCTTTTTTTTTTTGTACGATCGATTTTTTTCGATTTATACCCGAAAAGAGGGGGTGAATTTTTGGTTATAGAATAACTCGTTTATTTTCAATTTTACGAGAAAAATTGTTATAAACAAAGTTGTTTAAAATTAAATTTCCTACAATTCTTTTTTTTTTGTACGATCGATTTTTTGTATTTATCCCTGAGAAGAGTGGGGGTGAACCTAAGTATTGTATTGTCACGTTTATTATTGATGTTGTACCATTATTTTTTCTGTTTGTTTTTTTTTGCTGATTTTCAAAAATGTTATTTGGTACAATTAGGATTCCGATTTTTTCTAAAGTTTATATTGTTGGGTCGCAAGTTCACGGTAAAGGAAAAGAGGGGTGTAAATAATCAGTTTATCGAACAGTATAATTTTTACAATTAAAAAAATGAAATTTATTTTCTTTTCAGTACACTTTTAAAAGTCTATCGAAACGTCAATGACGTCTGTTTACCCCCACTCTTCTCAGGGATAAATACAAAAAAATCGAGCGTACAAAAAAAACAGAGAATTGTAGGAAATTTAATTTTAAACAACTTTGTTTATAACAATTTTTCTCGTAAAATTGAAAATAAACGAGTTATTCTATAACCAAAAATTCACCCCCTCTTTTCGGGTATAAATCGAAAAAAATCGATCGTACAAAAAAAGCAGAATTGTAGGAAATTTTATTTTAAATAACTTTTGTAAAAACTATTTTCCGTGTAAAATTGAAAATAAATGAGTTATTCAAGATACAAAAAATAACCCTTTAAATCAAGCTGGCGGAGGTAACGACAACTTTGGAATCCCAACTTTTTGAATTTAGACTACCACAGACCCCCTCCAACGAATTCCGAAGGAAAATTGCTGCTTCGAATTTTTCAGAATCTCAAGCCTGTTCTTCACCTAATCCGATTGGGCTAAACTTATTTTTCATTGAGAAGTTAATTAATTGTATAAAAAATATATGAGTGCATGAATTTATAAAGAAAGAAAGTAAATAAAAAGTAAGATTTTGTTTATAAAAATAAATTAAAAGAGACATTTAATAGGCGCCTATATCTGATTTAGAGTGGCTGCCTAAGAACATAGAACACATAAATGGACTACGATTACGATCTTTTTATTAGGTAAATATACCTACCCTCAGAGTGATATGAGCAACAGCTTTAGACATAATTAACTTGTAACGGAGATGGATGATAGCCGGTAGACTCAGTCACACCTATTCTGACTTAAACCTTTTCTCTCTTTTAAAGTTCCGATCTGATACTCAACCGCATAAAAAGTAGTCGAATAAATAGATACTTTTAAATTTAATTATAAGGAACATTCAATTTCGGTTTTTTGTGTATACGAAAAATATGTACTTATGCCATTAGAACCTACAGTGTAAATATTAGTCCTGGTGGTACACAAAAGTTGAAATACTATTTAGGTGCCATTTTTTTTTAAATCGCATATAATCCAGTTTGTTAAAGTGTTTGGATTTGAATTTGTTGATATATCGGTAACCGTGGTGTATCCTATGTTTCTAATATGAGTTTATAAAGGCTGGGGTCAGCTTCATATGAGGAAATTGAAAGAAAAAAACTGTTGCTAAGACGGGAAATTAAATAATGTTTTGTTAGCAGTTAGATACGAAAAATTATCATACAAGTATAAGAAATAATTCGAGAGAACAGGAAATAAATTATACTTCAATACAATTTCCAAAAATAAATATGCGGTAACTAGAATAGAATCTTACAAGACCCTTCTTAGCTCGTCAGCTACAGATTTGATGTAGTTGACAACGTCGCCGAGAGGATGATATGCTCGATGGTCTGATCTTTTTGCAGAGAGCAGATTCTGACGTTACTAAATTGATGTCATCAGGTAAAAGTGACATTAATAACGTAAGTAATAACCCCAAAATAATGTTACTGATGTATTTGACAGAACTGTTACTTAAGTTTCAATAAAAGTTAATAATAATTGCCATTTTAATTAGATTTGTTATTCTATTAGATCACGTGGGATATAGGTATTATTGAAAACTCGTTACAAATGGCCAAAGAACGTGGTATTACTGTGCACAATATCAGTCCAAACGGCCTAATCAAATAAATTTAGACAGACATGAGGAAAAGATGAAAAGAAAAATGTGGGAAAGGTTTAAGGAATGAACTGACATAAAATGAGATGTATCTGGTATTAATATCACAATGGGGGTGTTTTAATCCCACATATAAACTAAGATAGTTGAATCTAAATGTAAAATATAGTAAAGGAAATAGAAATATTTTTCAAGTATTCTAATTAAAAAAACTTTACCTAACCTGTGTGGCCTGGCGACATCGCAGGTTGCATCGGAAAAAAATATACATAAAATAAAAAAAAACTTAAATAATATACCTAACCTTTGCGACCTGGAGCCTAAATGGGTTACTTCGCAAAAAAATATGTATAAAATGAAAATATTTTCCATTTAAATTTTTCTAAACCACCTGTAAGACCGTCTGAGATAAGATTTACCGTAGATAAGATCTATTGTAGGACTCCGTTATTTAGAGTATGTCGTCTACCTTAGTCCTTTTAAATATAATAAGACTTAGTAGCTTTGACAGTGGCTTCCGCATGTAGTTACATGCGTCTGAATTTTCTTCTTTTCTTGTTAATAACCTCAATCTAGTCAGGCGTTCTGGCACATGACGTGAATTGATGTTTCCTCCTCTTTA